TTCGGCATTACGTCATAAGACTCTAGTACCATCAAATATTGAATCGTAAAAAACTGAAGAAATTAAAAATTTTCTCAGCAGAATATTTATATCCTAATTCACATTCGTGAACAACCACGTGATAAGAACATACGCGGTTACTACGTTAATTTAACCAGAGTTTGCAACTGGGAGATCAAAAGGAAGATGAAACATGCGAAATCACTCTCGGCATCCTACGTGATAAATTGTGCGTTCCTTGCTGGACACGGTTAGTCTATCCGCGATCTTCCTAGAGGAAGTTGGTTCCTTATAGTTGAGTTGAACATTCAATTCATATTATCATATTATCAAAGTAGTCATATTCTTGATCGACCATAGTAAAAAGTGTGCGACAACGCATTTCATCGTATAAATGAAAATAATGGACATTTGAGTTTTTAACCATTTTTTTTCAATAGAGATTTTCAATAATCCGAGTGTAAAGTTTACCCTAAAGTATGCAGTACGGAAATATTTCGTCGTGGATATGGTTATCCCTTTTATCATTAACAGCGATTTATGTGTCGACCCAAGCGACCACGCTAGACCCAATGACCATGAGAAAGGTACTTCCGGCGTACGCGATTTTGGAAAATGCTGATTTTCTAAATTCCAGTAGATGTCGGACGGAGATTGATCAATTTCGTAATGCTGTTGACAACCAGATACTTTGGGGTCTAAGAGGTAAATGTAACTTTTAAGATATTTTGACGAGTTTCGTTCGACAAAGCTACTGCCAGTCCATTGCCAGCAAAGGAAGGAAGGAAATAGACCGAACGAAATATGTATAAGGCTATAACGGTGTACAATTCCAATAATTATACACTGTGGTTGCGATTGTGTTTCGTGACACACAGTTGTTCACACGTGGTATACCACAATTTACCGCAATAACAACAAAAACAACTTGTGTGTAACCGCCAGAATTTTTTCTAGCCCTGATCACGTCGCGATTGTATAAACTGCATAATTTCTCATCGAATCAATTCCGATCCCCGAGAGTTTCTTCGCAGCTTACGCGAGAAACTAGTTCCTTCGTTTGAAGTGCGAAAGTGGGTTCTCTCAACTAATTGCATCTTCTGGCTTTAAACATAAAACGACAAATTCTGCATTCAACTTCCTTACCGCTTCAAATCCATATCGCCAATTGTATCATGAGTTGTTTCTAATGAAATATTATATATTCTTTAAGCGTTGGACACCAGCGGAGTGCCACCCGGGGGATTTCTGAACGGGCACAATTATTGGTTAGGAGATCGTCCAGCTTGCACCGGCCTCTCCCAAAATCTCACGCTGTTTGTCGCGGAGAAGAAACGAAAGAACAATACGATATACCGCAATCCGGACGAGGAGCATCCACCTTTTAAGTTTCATTTTTTTATTGGACGCATGCAGCACAATAGCACTATGCAATATCACCAAGAATTGCCATACGACGTAAGCACGTGGATATCATCCGCAATTGACATATGAAATCAGATTTGCATTATCGGTTTTTATGATTGTGGTGAACGCTTCTTTTAGGATTTGGTGACACTTGGACTTTGTCTACCGGCTTCCTGCACCAAACACGATGTAGCTACAATGCTAGATAAAGTCATCCATAATGAAACTCTTTTCATTGGAAAACTTTTTGCCATAAACTTCAGACTCCTCGAAGTCACTGATTTGGTGAATGATTATCAATGGCTTCTCTCTTTAAAGATAATCTCCATCATGTACGTAAATTTCAAGCTCTTAATCGACACTCCGAATTTCTATTCTCAATAGACATAAATACAAGTATCACGATCGGCGTGAATATCAAGTAGAAACTTTCAAACTTTGATTACAGAGGCGTTTTGGTGTTGTTGTGTACTATCGTTATAGGGGCCACGGTATACGATATTTCCGCCCGTCGAAACCGTGTAAACAGCGAAAAGGAAATCGTTGCGCTTAAAAATGGAAATACGAAGGGTAAGCCATACATACAATGATATCTGGTATTCTGCATGTTAAGGATTCTGATCGCCTCGAGTTTATTTCACGGGAATCTATATAACGTACGGTTAACTTTGAATAGAATTGGAGGACGTGAGAAAAGTAAAATGCAAAGCCAGTGACGATGAATCGGCACTCTTAGAATCAAGGCAACAAAATCACATGAATCAATATCTGCTCTGTTTTTCGCTGCTCAGAAATGCACGGTCACTATTTAAAATACAAGAGGGTACAGAGACTTTGCGTGTATTCTACGGTATGAGAGTGTTGGGAATGCTATGGATTATTCTCGGGCATTTGCTCATGTTCGGGTTTCATGTTATGGGTAAGAAATGGGCTACAATCACGCTCGAATTTCATTAGTACATTCCGATTTTTGATATAGCACGACTTATTTAACGACACCACTCGTATGTGCAGCTAACAAATCGCTTTACTACATGATGGGCGGTGAATTACTCATGAAAATCATAAATAATCCGACGTTTCCGGTGGACACGTTTTTCTTTATGAGTGGTTTTCTGTCGTCTTATATTTTTCTCAAGGAACAACAAAAAATGAAGGGAACACTGTCTATAACAGAAAAGACGAAAATGTTCTTTCAAATAATCATCAAACGATATATGAGGTATAGATGATTTTAATGTCTTTATGTTGTAATTTATGCGCGATTCAAATACGATGCTAATCAAATAAATACATTAATTTCGTAGGCTTACACCTGCATATTTCGTCGTTATACTGATAGCGATATTAAATTTCACCTGGCACGATCATGTCTCAGCACTTCTCCCCTTTGAGCATCCAAGTGCTAAGTGTTCCAAATATTGGTGGACTAATATACTTTACATCAACAACTTCTACCATTGGAATGACGTAGTACGTATATTTTCTGAGATAATTCATTGTAAACATCTTTCACATTACTAGAAAAGAATCGTTTCGAAGAAAAGTACTGTTTGCAGTGTCTCCTTTGGAGTTGGTACCTACCCAATGATATGCAGTTCTTCATATTTGGTACTTTTCTCCTAATATTATCGAGCACGTAAGTTTGAAATTTGGTTTTGTAGTCATTCATTGGCCAGTTTTACCCGGCCACTAAAATCGACTGTTTCAGGCATTACAATATTGCCACTGGCTTAGGCGTTTTTAGCATGGTTTTCTCGATAGTATCAGTCGCTTACAATGGATACATCATTAATTACCAGCCATCGTAAGCATACAAAATGTTTAACACTCTTTATAACATAGGGAATATGTAAATATATGAATATTTTCTTTCCTAGGATTGACGAATTATATAACTCGTGGACAGACCTTTATATACGACCATGGTGTAGAATACCGCCATACCTCATAGGAATGGTTACATGTCAGCTTCTTACAAAATACAATTTCAAATTACATTTATCAAAAGTAATGTATACAGTTTATTCGTTACAACTGTATTCCTGTACATCTTTCAATAATGCAATTAAATTTATCTTACAGAAAACCTTAATCATTGGATGGATCTTGGCAATTCTATGTAATGGTACGATTGTCTTCGGACTTGATAACAAGAGCATACCCTTAAGTCTATCCATTCTTTATTTGTCCCTGAGCAGAACATGCTGGACCTTGAGCATTGCCTGGGTGGTAGTTGCATGCACTACGAACCATGCTGGTAATTCGCTATTTTTCATGTCACTCATTAATGCGTTAATGTTATTCTTCTTACTGTAAAAATACTCTTTGTGTAATGCGAAGTATTTAACGTCTTGTAAATTACACACAAGTACATTTGATACGTTTGCAGGTATCGTGAAGAAAATCTTATCACTGGATATTTTCGTTATTTTGAGTAAATTTACGTATGGTGCTTATCTTTTAAACCCTATTTTCATACTTTCGGTTCTTTCTTCAAGTTATTATCCTTTCTACTTTGATAAAGTCACCATTGTAAGTATAAAGAAATCATTTCATTTGGACAATTTCGACGTAGTATTAGTACTATGAAATGAAATGAAATAACGTTTCTATTTTTCAGGGTATTCTGTTCATTGCAATCGTTGTTTGTAGCTTCATTGCTTCTATTTTGTTATTTTTAACAGTCGAAATGCCGTTTGTATCACTTCTGAAATTGCGTACTGGTGCACCAAAGAAAAGGAAAGAAGTTGGTGGTGATAAATTCCACTGAGTGTATTAAATTATTAAATTATTAAACTAATAGCAGGAAGTTGGTGGTGATAAATTCCACTGAGTGTATTAAATTATTAAATGATTAAACTAACAACAGAAAGTTAACCTTTCATGTGTCAAAATATAGAAAAATATATATGTTTACGACAATGTTGTTTAATATTTTCAAATATCTAAGAAGGGGAATTAAATAAGAGAATTACTTCTAAGAAAGTGATTTGGACGACGAAAAGAAGCTCATATGCAAATAAATATGAATCACTGAAGGAGGAGAAAAAGTCTTTACCGTGCAGTACACGGCGACCTTCTCGCAGTTGTTTTTCGTTCCTAACACTGTCATTTGCCTTGCATGTTTAAAAAAAAAGAGACTTGGAGAACATGATAAAAAGCGCGTAGACAATGTTGCAAGTTCACGTCACAAGACCATAAGCACCATAAGACCATAAGGTAAGCACAGAATGATCGAAACCTAATCCATTATTCAGGATTCAAATGCACATAAATGTTCGAGACACCAAGCTGGAAAGTGATGTAGCAGCAATGATTATTTGTCGCAAGGAAGAGAGGCTGACAAAGATTATTTATTACTATGAATAATTGTCAGAGTTAATTTGAACAGATGGTATATAGACTATGTGCTTGATGTAATATGTCAATTTGAATGTAAGGTCAGATTTATCCGAAAAATCGTCCGAAGACATCTCGTACGAGACATGTTGGCAGCAAGACACGCTGATTGGTTATTTAAATGTTTTGGAATTTGCGAGGATGTTCGATTCAATGTCATTAGTTATTCTCTTTTTACAAGTGATGAGACCACTGCTACTGGCACCTGGGTTACGGAGCGACTCAAACAATTCATGCTGGAATAAGACGTGGGAGAAAGAGAGAAGAGAGAAGAGTCACAAAGTTGCTAATCATTGCAGAAAACTGTTAATTCCTTCAGCGATAGAATAAGTGTTCAAAGACTTCATAACGTTATTATTGCTAGGCAATAGAGACAGAATTTTATGGGTTCAATTATAAAAAGTTGTAAAATCGTACTTATGTAAATGGATAATAATATAAATATAGGATATAAGATAAACGTAAAAAGAAATTCTAACTCGGTGTATAAAATTTTGTATACAATAATGTTCGAAGGACATTAGCACGGAACACAGGCTAAGTCATACAACACATTAAGTGTACCAAATGTTAAAAACGTTACAGATCAGCAAGAAAACCGAAACCATTTGCAGCTAATATCCGTAAGAAGCGATCGTCAATTTTGGTCAGTGACTTCAAAGATCTTTACAAAGTGTCGTTTTAGCGTAATATTTCGCTACAGTTTAACCTATACGACAATACATCAGTTTCTCTGATTTAGGATTTAGACTTTTCACACGCTCTACTAATTCCCGATTACATTGTATAGTCCCACACATATGAGTTTTGAACTGCAGCAGAATTTCGGAAATTCTGGCGCTACTGTAAAAATTCTCCATATAATTAAGCCAAAGTCCATAATTTGAAGTTAAAAGATATGTTGATTCATTCTCTATATTTGACGAAACTATACAGTAAATTTGAGAATTTGGTAATTGTAACATTCATTTGAAGTATGTCACCCCCAATGGAAAACGATTAAACAACATTTTGGTGACAACCAGTAGCATTTACTTGTGGAATACCAAGAAACTTTTCATTGTTTTTCTCCTTATATGTATACGGAAAAATTATTCAAAAGATCAATTTTTACAACACGTGCAAAAATCATCGAAACAGCAGAGTAGTTAGCTGTTGCGAATTCTCAACTAATTAGCGATCAAGTCAGGTTTGCAACTGATCGGTTGATATCGCAAACCGTGAACGCTATTAATACTCAAGGTAGAGGTAAATTAAAGATGCAGGGTGATATTATGTTTACTTGATTTATTTGCACCGTTTAGTATACACTAGCAAGTTAAGATGTTGACCGATTGAAGATTGGGAAGCTACTATCGTTCGATGATGATGTTGTCGCGGATGAAAATTAGTAATGGGTGTGTCTAAAACACGGAACCAGCGGATTCGTTGATAGCAATTTTGGTTAGGAATGTGGGAATGTCACAGAGCCATATATTACCAATAGAAAATTACCCAGGGAGGCCTAACGAACATCCTACAGGCCATCGAAACAACAACGCAGACAGTATCCCAGGGTCAGAAAACAGTAACGGCATGGCCACCTCTGACATGAGAGCCGGTGACACCTCCTCCATAAAGGGTCAAACCCATAGTATATAAACTTTGCCAAAATTAGTTCTCGACACTCTCTGTTCTAACATTCTTAACCGTCACTCTGTTGAATTTACATAATAAACTCTGTCGGCATATCTAAAGTCTGAATTTTTCTTACCTTGCTCATGAAACTACGTGAAACCATTCGAACGACGCGAGGAAACGACCAGTGATTTCTTAATATCATCGCTCCCCGTGTCTTCGACGTGACAAGAGCAACGATCATTGCTACTAATTGGATAGGGAAAAGACAAATGAACTGATGGGTGTTGGCTTCCGCCAATCAACGGTCGGTTGCGGGTGGCGTTGTACATGGAAACCCCGCTTTCCCGTGTTTTCTCGGAATAGACAATAACTCTAAGGAATTCTTCAACTTTAAAAGATATTTTTGTGTTCTTAAGGATCTTAACTATAAAAAATGCTAAAATTTATGATGGCCCTAATCTTCTTACGATTCTTGAGGATCCGCAATAAGGGTGTTTAAACATCTGGTGAACATCTTGCTTAAGGATAGAGGCTGGTTTAAGTAGAGAGTCACAGCACGTAACAGACGGTCACCCAAATCTCAAACAGTTAGCTGTCAGTAAAACGACAAATTAGAGACGCCTGTGATAATGACTGTAGCCATACAAAGCCTTCGTTACGTTCCGGGACCCGCAATAATCCCAAGGAACCATCATCTTGCTAAAATTACAACTAACGACGAACGCGACGTGTATCGCGGCACTGACACAACGATTCCCTTCTCAGCGGCTTTTTTGGTCCATACTGTAGTATCGTGGAAAAATTGTTTAAAAAATACTGACGAAACATATACAGTGTTGCGACAATGTCTAAGCGCCGACAGGCCGAAAGGGTCGAGAAGCTTCAATAGGACTAATGGCCCATCAATGTGCATTCAATACCTCAGTCAATAGTCGGTTGCTAGTAAAGAGTCGAGTTGCAAGGAGTTCAGTAGTTGCAAGTGATCGGTTGACTCGATAGCGAGTTCGCAGCAACAGTCTGAATACAGTCCAGGTAACACCCGCTAGTAGCATTAATAAATGCACTGTTAAATTAATACGCCTTTGGCACCCTTCACGTCCTACAATTTACGACAATTATAAATAACAAGGATTTCAACTAAATTTAAGTACGAAAAGTACAAACGTCGTGTACTATATGAAGAAATACGGTATCATTCGTAAACGCGAGCATGATCTAGTTGACGCGACATGAGGTCAACAGTCGAAAAGATAATAAATGATATGGAGTGAAAGGAAATAAATGTAGGTGTATTTATGATGATGATTATTATAACAAACGTATAACTATCTACGGGAAATGTTCCAAATACCTGTTAAATAAAAATATGTTAAATATACTAAAGTATATGTGAAACGAAAATCGTGATTAGACAGTATGCGTTAAACTCAAACGCATTGAGAACCTGTCGACTTATTCGACTCACGCAGTTGATGAACTACAAAAATACCGGGTATCAATTCGCGTTGCTGTAATGTTCGTTAGTATGATCGTTCCTTTAAAATGCATTATTAGATTTACGCATCACGATCATTGCCATGCATAATACTTAATTTGACCATGTTTCGTTGCATATCTACTGAAATTTATGGGTAAAGCTAAGCTATTCCTTCTTTACATAAGCAATTATGTAAGCACCAAAGAGTTTTTGATGATTTTGTAATATGGATGTAACATTGGCATGGCAAGAACTATGAGTTGTAAAAAGTTATGAATATTAAAGGAATTTTAAAAGTAAAGCACAATTCGTAGTTTTTTAATCATCCGTCCTGTTCTATTCCAAGCCCCTCAATAATGTACTAAAGTTTTGTGATTTTTAGCTTTAATTAATCAGCACTATTAATATTCATCTATAAAATCGACAATCGACTGAGTACGAAGACCGCTACGATGAGAAATTAGACATTCGAGGCACGTACGTTAGGTGAAGCATCAAGACGAGCGAAAATATGCCAAGTACAAGATGGATATCAGGAATTTTAGAAAAAGAGTAATTTCCATCAAAGTTATGACAACAGAGATGAATTTTATTTCCCGAATTCGAAGATTCGCAAATTTAGGCTTATGAAAGTTTGCAACATTCATAACTCAAAAGTATGATATTTTGAGAATTGACAAACTAGGAAATTCGGAAACTGGATATTGGAAAATTTAGGATATCGAAATTTATAAAATCGGAAAATTTATCGTTGCTGTATCGCTGTTATCGCCGCTGCGTCATTCATGTAACCGACTACTTATATCTATTTGCTATGCTTGGATCAATAAAACAAATCGAAAATTGATATTACTCATCATGCTATTAACCTTTCAACCTGCAATGTCATGTTAGAGAAGTGGTACGTCCTTTGGAACAAACATAAAGAACACGTGCATGAAATTATGTACGTCCTTCGAGTTACAAGCGACACTTTCTTTTCTTCGCCGCATTCGCATGTGCAGACACATTTTCTGGAAAAAGTTCAAAAAGTGATTTGATATTTTAAAACAATTCCATAAATCTGGAACGAACCATCTGCTTAATATATTTAAATGCGTATGGGCCTACGTAGTCTTTGTCAACAGCTGAAGGAGAGCAGTTGTATCGATTCTTAAAAACATACCAAGCATAATAAGCACTGCATAAGTTGACCCAAGGTAGACTACGACTCAACAATCTACAGCCCTGTCAAACCACCTACATTAAAGGTAATAAAACAAGGGATAATTACAGGGGTACATCGTGCATGCAAAGTCAATAGTATCCTCTTTGAAACCAAACATATGGTACTATATCGACGAAGATAGTTTCCAAGTATAAAATACGCTCTGAAAGCCCCCTCTACATCACACAACAAAA